TGTGTGTATGGGGGGCAATGTGTGTGTATGGGGGGCAATGGGTGTGTGTGTGTGTGTGTAGAGTGTGTGAACACCCCCCCCCCAGCCTACCTGTCACTGGAGGATGTTGCTGGGGGTCAAGGCAGCCATCTTCTGCAGCAGCATGGGCTGCTGCATTACGGCGGGGGCGGGGCTTATTGGCGGGAGGCGGGGTTTCGTTTGGGGGCGGGGCCGGTGCCGGGGAGCCAATCAGTGCTCCCTCCGGCCACAGACAGCCCCCAGCACCTCAGCACTGCATTCCCTCGGGCTGTGACAGGCTGTTACAGTCTGAGGGAGACCCATGGCCAGCAAGTTGCTGGCATTTGGGGGGGCCCAAGGGGGGGCACAGCATGATGTAGGGGGGGCCATGGCCCCCTCTGGCCCCCCCCTAGCGACGCCACTGCTCAGTATGTCACCTCCAGAGTCTGTCAGTAAGTCTCTACCTAGCATTGATCGTGTGTGTGTGTGTGTGTGTATATATATATATATATATATATATATATATATATATATATATATATATATATATATATATATATATATATATAATGTGTATATATGTATGTGTGTGTATATAAATTTATAATTAATACTGGTAATGTATGGGTTAATTCATCTTAGGGTTAAAAGTAGTTCATAAAAAGAAAAGAAAAGAAAACACCCTTATCAGTCTAATGTCATAACCTAGACATCTTTAATCTTTATTTGGACTATATGTTAGGATGACATAGGCAAAGCCTTGAATTGTTATTGCATTAAATTAAGACAAGATGGAGTAAACATGTTGTGTACTGTAAATAGGTAAAAGGTTATTAGTTAAAGAAACAGTTGCAGTTTAAAGAAATACAATGTAGCAATGTGTATTATACCTACAATTGCCCATCACACTTCCAAACCTGCTTAATACAAGCCTGAACTACTTATTTCCAACCCTGCTTAATACCAGCTGAACTACTCTGAATTCTTGCTTGACTTCCAATTTGCAAAATACCAACCTGAATTTCACAATTATCCAGCTTTATCCTACCATCCTGATTTTTACCTACTTAAATCCAAATAACCTCTCTGATCTATACCTGCCTGCATAACACCACTCTGGACTCTGCCTCAAAATAATTACATGGTGTTATTTTCCTGTTTGAGCAATACTCATTCCAAAAGGGGGCTTATTAACTGAACTTCTCCTTTTTCTGCAACCTTATTAATCTGTCTTATTTGTCCTTCTATGTAACCTATACTTTTATCTATAGGTTTTCTTATTATGTATGTTATGGATAGAAACTAATGTAGGTAAAATGTCTATTTACTATGTATACCTGTATTCAGTATTTACTGAAGGTGTTTGGTCGATGCTAGAGCACCCCCTCCCATCGACCAAACACCTTGTGTAACAAGATGGCGTCTCCATCCGGAGTAAAATCCCGAGATGATGGTGACATCACATTTTGGAGGAAGTACATTAGATAAGACACTTAACACTTGACCAATTAAAGATGTATACTTTCTATTATCTTGTATTTTGCATATGATGTATTATTTGCTTTATAAGGGGCTGGCCGCCTCCCTAAGTAAACATTCCAAAGTTTTTCATTTACCTGAAACCTGTGTTTCATTGTGATTTACTTCAGCGTGCATGCACCTTATTTCAAACATTCTGGACAGGGGCAGAAATTGATCCAGAACATTTTGGAGCCCAACGTGGGGCTCCGGGTTGTGTCCCTGTGGACAGCCGTCCTGAAAGACGCAGGTGCAGACCTGCAGTGACTGTACAAAGCCTGATAAACTTGCCTATATATCATGTCCTATATATCAGTTTGTATAATAAGGCCCATACCCAAATGCTATCCGCAGCCTTCGTAGCGGGCCTTAAAGAATCCATTTGCAAAGGCCTACTTCTGTCCCGCCCTGAATACAGAATAATTCCTCTGGATACCCTCCTGCTGGTTGCTAAGGGCCTAGAGTCCTCCCAACTACCCCCACCAAGGAAACCAGCTTCCCTTATGTTCTCTCGCCCTGCCCAATTACCCCCACCACCCCCTGGGTATGCACCTATGCCTCAAAGCCTACCTATGAGTCAACCCCCTATGCCGCAACAAAGAAGTTGTTTGAACTGTGGTCAACCAGATCATTTCAGGAGGGAGTTTACCGCCCCTAGGGTCCAGTGATATGTGAGACTGCCTCATCCCGAAATCAGCCCCTGGTTACCCCACAGCTACTAATCCCACTACCAGTCACCATGCTGCTAGCCATCCTTCTGCCTACTACCCCCCAGCCAGTCACTCTGCAGCTACCAGCTGCCCCTATACAGGCCCTGACCGAGCTCATCTAGATCTCCTATAATAGGTAACTGGCAAACCTGTGTCATCTACCCCTGTCATGGCAGTGTCTTTAGGGGATAAGGGTGGGCCCCTTGCCACGGCGGTCCTCCCTGTAGAAGGTCACCCAACCACCTTTTTAGTTGACACAGGCGCAGCCCGAAGTGTCCTTGGAGAACAAGACCTGCCTGACTCCTCTTTCCTGTCTAATATGGATGTTTCTTGTGTAGATGGCACTCCTCGAAGTAGCCCACTAACTAAGCCCTTACAGGTTAGCACTTTTCCTGATCTCCTGGCCCGCTTTGTGGTTTCCTCTACCTGCCCTATTAACCTACTGGGAACAGATGTCCTCTCCTGCCTACAAGCTTCCATCTCCTTCACCCCTAATGGCCAGATTCAGTTGTTCTCCCTCCTGCCGATACTTCGGCTCTCTGTTCCATACCCCTCTTGCTCCATTTGGAGATTCCTGATAGGGATGCAAGGGTGCGAGATGGTCCCCCCCAGTGCCTTTGCCAGAATACCCTCCAAGCTATGGTCCACAGATCCAGAAGACATTGGATGCCTCCAAGTTCCCCCAGTTCTGGTGAAGTTACTCCCAGGAGCCAGCCTGCCTCACAAACCACAGTATCCTTTGAAGCCTGCCCAACCCCTTGCTATTTCCGAGCAGGTTGAATGCCTATTCTCTAATGGTGCCCCTGGTCAAGTGTGAGTCTCCCTGAAACACTCCCCTGTTCCCCGTGAAGAAGACTGCAAAAGGTGAGCCTGAAAAGTACAGAATGGTTCAAGACCTCAAAGCTGTCAATGAAGGTACTGTTCTGAAAAACCCCATTGTACCTAACCCCCACACGCTCCTGTCAGGGGTCCCACCTAACTCCAAGATTTTCACAGTGGTGGATTTGGCTAATGCTTTCTTCAGTGTACCCCTGGATCCCTCGTGTCAATATCTGTTTGCCTTCACCCATGAACGTCAACAATATACCTGGACTGTCATGCTGCAAGGAGCTCAAAATTCTTCTAGTCAGTTCGCCAAGGCAATGGCTTCAATCCTGGACTCATGGCAAAAATCCCACCTTGATGTGGTCGTCCTCCTCTGTGCTGATGATCTCCCTACTGCTGAGCGCACTTCAGAAGATTTACTTTGCTATCTTGCTGAACGAGGATGCAAGGCCTCCAAAAAGAAGCTACAGTGGTGCCTGCCCTCCTTGGTTTTCGTGGGTCATTGTCTCTCCCATGGCACCCGTCACCTCACCCAGGACCGGGTGAGCGGAGTCTCTGCTATCTATCTTCCTTCATGCCTTCCTGGGCCTAATTTCCTACTGCAGAGCCTGGATACCTGAGGCCTCCATCCTTCATCCTTCCAAGGTAGAGAAAATGAGTACCATTAATTTGGGTAATGGTAACAATCCCTGGATGTTGGTCTAAGGTAACACCCCCAGGACGTACTTGAAAACCAGAGTAATCTGAATGTACCTTTCCTGGTTAAATACTTTGCTATTATTATATTGAAACTACTTTAAATAACAATGTCATCTAACACAATATTAGCAAGGGACAGAGGCTCTATAAAGCAATACTTTACCTTGGGGAATTTACAACCTGATTATTTTCTGAGTAACAGGCAACAGAGGGTTGTAGTTAATGGAATATATTCGAAGCTTGGACTTGTCACCAGTGGGGTACCTCAGGGATCTGTACTTGGACCCATTCTCTTTTAATATTTTTATTAGTGATATTGCAGAAGGTCTTGATGGTAAGGTATGTCTTTTTGCTGATGATACTAAGATATGTAACAGGGTTGATGTTCCAGGAGGGATAAGCCAAATGACAAATGATTTAGGTAAACTAGAAAAATGGTCAGAATTGTGGCAACTGACATTTAATGTGGATAAGTGCAAGATAATGCATCTTGGACGTAAAAACCCAAGGGCAGAGTACAGAATATTTGATAGAGTCCTAACCTCAACATATGAGGAAAGGGATTTAGGGGTGATTATTTCTGATGACTTAAAGGTAGGCAGACAATGTAATAGAGCAGCAGGAAATGCTAGCAGAATGCTTGGTTGTATAGGGAGAGGTATTAGCAGTAGAAAGAGGGAAGTGCTCATGCCATTGTACAGAACACTGGTGAGACCTCACTTGGAGTATTGTACACAGTACTGGAGACCGTATCTTCAGAAGGATATTGATACCTTAGAGAGGGTTCAGAGAAGGGCTACTAAACTGGTTCATGGATTGCGGGATAAAACTTACCAGGAAAGGTTAAAGGATCTTAACATGTATAGCTTGGAGGAAAGACGAGACAGGGGGGATATGATAGAAACATTTAAATATATAAAGGGAATCAACACAGTAAAGGAGGAGACTATATTTAAAAGAAGAAAAACTACCACAACAAGAGGACATAGTCTTAAATTAGAGGGACAAAGGTTTAAAAATAATATCAGGAAGTATTACTTTACTGAGAGGGTAGTGGATGCATGGAATAGCCTTCCAGCTGAAGTGGTAGAGGTTAACACAGTAAAGGAGTTTAAACATGCGTGGGATAGGCATAAGGCTATCCTAACTATAAGATAAGACGAGGGACTAATGAAAGTATTTAGAAAATTGGGCAGACTAGATGGGCCGACTGGTTCTTATCTGCCGTCACATTCTATGTTTCTATGTTTCTATGTTACTTGAACATAATATATACATATATATATATATATATATATATATATATATATATATATATATAATAATAATAATAAATGAATAAAATATTTACAAATGTTGTTCCAATAAACAATGTAAAGCAATCGGAAAGATCTACCTGCTCAGGTACAGTCATGTCTTTGTAGACAACAAAATCAAGATCGTAACTTTCTAGATAATAACTGTGTATCACTATCATATTCCTAATAAGGACACATATAACAAAGTATTTTCATTCTCAATACCTGATATTACTTAAGTACTAATACATGTATTACTATAATATCCTGTCCAATTATATTTCCATGAATCATATGGTTTCTAGCAACCTTAAAATCTTTAGGTCATTTGTATTCATGAATTACATTCCTATACCATTAATACCACCTAGTGATGATTGTATCAGTACTTTACAATCATAGTATTTAATTTGTATATTCAGTAGGCTCTCACTACCTGAAATATATCAACACTACTTATAAGTCTCATTCAAAGGATGTGTTATCAACCATGAAGTTCTATAATAATTATTTAAATAAGGTTCATGGTGTTGACAATATTTATTGTCCTAGAAATTCTTCACCCAGAAATCTTTCTATCATAGATTTGTTTTTGTTTACATAATTATATTTTTCACTAAAATGCCACCTTGTAGTAACAAACTTTACATTCAATCGGAGAATGGTTTACTTTAAAAGAATTTGGAAAGAATACTTTAAATTCATTAGCATCACTCTCTTCATTAGCATTGTGATGACTTATTAATGTAATACATCTTAAAAACAGGATTGTCCTAATGTTCTGACCAATCCGTATTCCTTAGTACACTTCAACTGACTAAAATAAAATAAACAAAACTTGGGGTCATACTGCCCAGAAACTCTTATTCCTAGTCTGTGTCTAACAAACTCAGGGTAATCATAAAACAACTTAACAACGTATTCATTGGATACCATCATATCCAGAAACCTATTCTCCCTAGCCCATACCTTTTATAGACTTTGGTCAAATATAATTGTGTACTATACTCTTTCCATTCAATTCCTCTTGGATCTCTGAACTCTTATATCCAAGGCATTCTTAATGTATATAATTACTTAATATAAATCAATATAAATTATTCTTCCTTAGTTTTCTTCCTTATGTTACCATTGTTTGTTTTACTTCACCTCGATATAAACAAATTACTCATTCTTGTGAATCTATGAAATACTATTAAACTCAATCTTTGTAGTATTAAGTAACCATGATCCTTATTTTATCAACTTCATATTTTATCTACCTCTGATACTTCTCATCCTATGTATAGGTAATAATATAATAGTTCTTTTCAATTTGACAGTTTTTATTTTGTCGGAAAACAGAGGTTCAGAGGGGTACAGAAAGGAAAAAGGGGGGGGATATCAGGGGGGTGCATTCAGATTCCGTTGTCTTTGATATTACAGTTGAGCATATCACTTAA